GGGTATCGCTCTGTAGACCAGGCTGGCCTCACAGAGATCCGCCTGCCTCTGCGTCCCGAGTGCTGGGATTAAAGGCGTGCGCCACCAATGCCCAGCTTTTTTTTTTTTTAAATATTATGTATAGGGAGAGAGAGGGTGCCTATGAGCTGAAGTTGTGAGCCCCTTGCTGTGGGTACTGGGAACCGAACTGAGTCCTCTGCAGCAGTAGTGAGCATCTCTTCAGCTCAGAAGCACAGTCTTGAGCCAGGGTGTCAAGTTGCCCAGGCCAGCCTTGAAGTCCCGATCTCCCTGCTCCCACCTCCTCAGTGCTGGGGTGACAGATGTCACCAGGCCCAGCTTATGAGGCTGGATTTCCAAAGAGAGGATCCTAAGGCCAGGTGGGGAGACCCAGCCCCCTTGGAAAAAGATGGGGCCCAAGACCACTCCCAGCCCTTGAGAGAATAGAAGCTATGGCAGAGGACCTAACCACCGCCGCCCACCTTTGCCAAGGTACTGCCCTTCTCTGAGCTCTGTCTGCCTTTGTGACCATGGCAAGGCAACTGGAGCCCAAACTTGGTTTTCAGGAGTTTTGTTTTGTTTTATTGGTTTTTCAAGACAGGGTTTCCCTATGTAACTTTGGCTTTCCTGGAACTCGCTCTATAGACCAGGCTGGCCTTGAACTTACAGAGATTCACCTGCCTCTGCCTCCCCAGTGCTAGGATTAAAGACATGTGCCGCCGCCGCCGCCGCCACCACCACCACCACCACCACCACCGACTGGCTTCCTGGTTTGTTGTTGTTTTTGGTTTGGTTTGAGACAGGCTGGCTTCAGAGTTGCTGTGTAGCTAAGGATGACCCTGAGCTCTTGATCCTTCTGCGTCTCAGAGCTAGGATGATAGGCATATGCCATCATATCTGGCTTTGCCAGGGACATGTGTATCTATCTGTCCTGACATACCCAGTCTGGGATGACAAAAGCAGGTCCCCTCCCCAGTGTGGAGTGTGGCAGGCTGATGCTTCTGCCCAAGCCTGCTCCTAACTGGGATCCTGGGAGTCTTGCCACCCAGCCCTGAGGGGAAGCCCATTTCCTCTGATTAGGAGGACCCATGTCTCTCAGTTGCTGGGCTGTTTCTCTGAGGCGGGTGGTGGGTCAATGGTTTAGGCAAACAGTAGGTGCTCATTCGTAATAGATACTGTGAGCTGTTTCCAAGTAGAAGGGCTGGAGAGAGGCCGCTCACCCGTTCACCCTCTTTAGGTCTTAGTTTACTCCAGGTCGGGGTGAGGAGAAGAAGGGGGCAGAGACGGTGGCGAAGGTCGGTGTCACCACAGCTGTGCACTCAGGCTTGTCTCGTCTTTCCCAGCCCGCAGTCCTGGCGGTCCAGCCCGCAGCCCTTCCTGCTGTGTGCCGTCCAGGTTTCCTCCTACAAAACGGCTCTCCCCACTACAGCCACTGAATCTGAGAACCCTGGATCAACATAACCCATCCCATAGTGCTCTGCTCCCTGCGCTCCACTGTCTGCGGCCCCCACTCACCCGGTCCCACCCTGAGGGCGTGGGCCTCCCCATGGGTGGATGGAAGACACCCAGGTGTCTTGGTTAGGAACAGGCTTCAGCATCAGCTCAGGCTCCCTCTTCAGGACCTTTGTGCTGGCTCCACCGTCCACCAGGCAGGCCGGCCGTTTCCCTGCCTCGATGGTGTCTTCCTGTCCTCAGATGGCCACTGTCACAGTCACTGACCCAAGTGCCCCACTTTTTCTTTCCTTTTTTAGACAGGCTCCTATGCAGCCCAGGCCACCCTCAAACTCACTGTGCAGCTGAGGCTAGCCTCCTGGTCCTGCCTCTACCTCCCGATTGCTGGATGACAGGCCCAAGCTACCAGACCAAGCTATTCTTTCCATTCCTTCCACACAGACCTCCCAGGCACAGTTATGTATCTGCCGCTGACGGCCAGAGGGGAGCTATTGTCTGTCCACCCCTTGCCTGGGTGTCCCTGACATTTCTGGGCACACAAAGCAGGACACGGGATGTCCCCACACCTCATCTCAGGTCTCCAGCTAGTAGTCTCGGGGCTTCTGAAGCCGTGGGCAGAGTCGCTTCCGCCCAGTGCTGACAGATGTGTTAATTTCCCAAGCAGGGAGGCCTGGGCCTCTGGGGACCAGCTCCCTGAGGGACGATCTTTCTGTGGAACAAAGAGGGAAATCTTGGGCCGTCCCTGCAGCCACTGTGGAGGCTCGAGGGACATGTCTGGGGGCCTTGGGTACCCCTGACATGGGGCAGCAGGATCAGGCTCAGAGCATGGGTCTGTCCCTGCTCCTGGAGCAGTGGCCATTACCAGGCGGGTGATCACACCTATGGGTGCCCTCTTACCTTTTGAGACAGTCTCTCACTAAACCTGAAACTTGCCATTTGGCAAGACTGGCCAACCATCAAGTCCTCAGGCTCTGCCTGGCTGGTGTATGGGGTCTGGGGATCAAACCCATGCTTAAACATCTGATCTACTGAGCCTTCTCCTCAGCCACGTCTCTCCCCCAAACCCACCTCTCTGTCTCTCTTTGTTAAATTTGATTTTTATTTTATGTGCAGGAGTTTTTGTTTTGTTTTTCATTTTTGTTGTTGCTGTTGTTCTGAGACAGGGTCTCACTATGTAGCCTTGGCTAGCCTGGAATTCACTATGTAGACCAGGCTGGTCTTGAACTCAGAGATCTGCCTGCCTCTGCTTCACAGTGCCAGGAATAAGGAGGGCATGTGTACCACCAAGTGTGGTTTGTTTTGTTTTAATATAGGGTCTCACGTAGTCCAGGCTGGCCTTGAACTCATGTAGTTGAAGCGTCCTTGAACATCTTTGTGCTGGTATTACAGGTGTGTACAATGCCTGTTTCCATGGGGTGGTGGGGATGGAATCCAGACTTCAACTGGATGAGAATGTCTTACAGAGCAGAGTCTCACATTGTTGGCCACAGGCCATCTGTGGCCTCAGGTTTGTGTTGTGTGCCATGAAGTCCTTAAAAGGGGACCGAGGACAAGGAGTGGGCTGGTCTAGCACACACCAGGCCCTGCATGTCAACATATCTTCAGCCCCAAAGGAAGAAAGCAACTTGGAACAACATTTGTTGGCCCTTGACCCAGCTCCTGACAGCCGGCCAGTGGCCACTATGGCTCCTGACACAGTGTTGATCCCACTGAATTCACCATCTGTGACCCCCACCTTGAACAGATCAGAGGTTCCCAACTGAGCCTCGGTTCCCTCAGAGACACCAGAGGGACCCATGGACACAGGAACACCGGGGACCTTCCTAGAATTCTGGAAATGAGATTTGCCCTACCCCTCAGATCTCTCAGAGCCTCATGCTAAAAGCTGAGCCCCCACCTCAGTAGGGAAGCTGGGGCCGGGCTGGGGCCCCACAGGGACAGGACCACCTGTATCTAGGGATGCATGCATGTCATAGGGTCCAGTGTGGATTTAGAGGTCTGCATAAGTCAGGGGGGTGCGAGAGCTATTGAGGGAGGATATGTGAGTATTTAGGGGTCTCCCTGCATGTCTGAGGGGACCCATGTCTGGGTCTGTGGCAGTCTGGACGGTGGAAGCTGCGTGCATCTGAGGATTGACACTTGGAGATTCCGTAGCCGGTCTCATGTCGGGGTTAATGTTTGGAGAGCTGTGTGGATTTAGGGGTATCTCTATGTTTTTGTTTTGTGAGATGGGGTTTCACTGTAGCCCAGGCTACCCAGAAACTCACTATTTACTCAAGTTAGCTTCAAACTGAAAGCAATCCTCCTGCCTCACCTCCTGAACTCCGGAGTAACAAGTGTTACACTAGGCCAGATCCTTTGAAGACTTTTGTAGGCAGGGACCCCGGAGTGTTTTGGGGATCCGTTGTTATATTCCCGTGGTCCGAGGTAGTCTCTCCCCAATCTGTCCGTCTGATGCATGTCTGTTTCTCCAGCTCCCCCAGCCGCCCAGCCCCCAGCATGGGACTACTCGGGACCTTTATACTGGTCTGTCCCCTGCCCAGAGGCTGAGGAGAGGTGACCCCGAAGCCAGGACTAGGCAGCCAGGCACCCCCGGGCGGTCCAGACTGACCCGGTGTTGGTGGTGAAGCTGCAGCTCGTGCGGGGCGCTGGTCACACACCCCTGCTCAGCCCGGCAGGTGCCCGCCGAGCAGAGGGGCGCGAGGCCCCGCCCCCTGCCCTTCAGGCCCCGCCCAGTGCGGAGGGGCGTGTCGCCGGCTGCAGCAGCGGGGACGTGGGCAGCTGGGGTCGCTCTCAGCGGCTCGGCCCCCAGGAGAGGGCGGGGAGGGGTCCCGGTTTTCCAGGGGGCGCTTCCTGTCTTCGTAATGAGGAGTCCTGGGAGCAGGTGATGAAACCGCAGCCCGGGTTGCGTGAGGCCGCGTGTCCCGCGGGCCTGGCTCCCACCTGCCTCTCACTTCTGCTTTCTCTGCTCGCGCTGGGCTGTGGGTCCCTGTGCAGCCCGGTGGCCCATCGTGGGGAACAAGCCGGAGGCTGGACGTGGCCTGGCACTCAACATCCTGAGGTCCAAATTTGTCTTCTGGGAAGGAAAGACAAATTGAAAGTCCCGGGGTGGGAGGAGTGTTTCTAACCTGTTTTCATTTATGGGTCGGGGGAAACCGAGGCCTCATTTGGGTAAGAGGCTAAAGGTTACTGGAAGGTGGGATCCCTCCTAGTCACCCTCATTTCCATCACCTGGGGACCCAGAGGCCTCACCAACCTAGGGAGGTGATAGTTGCGGCTTGTAAGACCTTCGGGAGGGTTTGTTGATTGACTTTCTGACCACAAATCCCACCAGACAGAAGGTCTGAGAGAGATGAAGGGGACTAATAAAAAGTTACGTTCATAGCCAGGTGTGGTGCACCCCTTTAATCCCAACATGAAGGAGGCAGAGGCAGGCGGACCTCAGTTCTGGCCAGCCTGGTTTTCGTAGTGAGTTCCAAGAGAGTCAGGGCTACATAGTGAGACCCTGCCTTTAAAACAAAAATTTAACAATCGTTAGTTTATCCGTGTGTGTGTGTGTGTGTGTGTGTGTGTGTGTGTGTGTGTGTGTGCACGTGCCTTGAGCAGTGTGTGGCGTTCAGAAGACAGCTTCCTGGAGTGGGTTCTCTCCTTCCACTGATGGATGGCCTGGTCTCTCTCAGCGCCTCGGGCTCAGCACTGATTGAACTGGTCCCCCCGCTGGACCTGCTCAGGTCCCCCGACTGCAGGACAGCAGTGGCCCTGGCCCCCCTTCGGGGTCTTCACACTGGTTCCACTGGAGACTGCCCTCCTCCTGTCATAGATGTGTGATTTCCACAGCAACCCACCCCTGTGCTCAGACCTGAGACTCTGGCTCTCGGCCCACCACGTGTGTCCCCACATACCAGCCCCCCGTGTCTCCATCAGTCCTACTCAGCACGGCTACACACCCTTCTCACTGTGCACAGTACTTCTTCCTGCAGGCCCCAGCCCGCCTCTCCCTTCCACACTACTCTGCCCTGGACGGACAGGTCCCTGTGGTGGCCAGGAGCCACTGTGGGCATTTTAGCCTTTTTTTTTTTTTTTTTTAAATTTCATGTCAATTAGTTGATTTTTGTTTATTTTTGAGGCAGGGTCTCATGTAGCCCAGGCTGGCCTCCAAGTACCTATGTAGCCTTGGACGACCTTGGCCTCCTGATCCTCTGACCTCTACCCTGCCAGTCCTGGATGACAGATACGCATCGCTATGCCCCGCTGAATACTCCCTTCCTGGCTAGACAACAGTGTTCTCAGCTTCCTCCTTATGCCCCTTCCTCCCCACATTCCGATCACCCCCACATCTGGAGCAGAGGCACCAGGGTCAGTCTGTGGCTGGGTAATTTGCATGGAAGTACAGATAGGTCTGCCCAGCGCAGGCGGCCGCCCCCGCACCCCGCTTGGCCCTTCACACCTGGGCCACACAGGTCTCCAGCCCGTGCTGAATGAGTGGAGATTTGCATTCTCTCGTGTATTTCTGGGCAGGGTGTCCGCTGGGGAGGTGCAAGAGGAAGTGTGCAGGGGAGCTGGGGGGGGGAGCTGGGGGGGAGCTGGGGGAGGGGAGCTGGGGGGGGGAGCTGGGGGGGAGCTGGGGGAGGGGAGCTGGGGGGGGGAGCTGGGGGGGAGCTGGGGGAGGGGAGCTGGGGGGGGGAGCTGGGGGGGAGCTGGGGGAGGGGAGCTGGGGGGGGGAGCTGGGGGGTCTCATCTTTCTTTCTTGTGTGTTGTGTGAAGGCCAGAGGTCAACAGGGGGTGTCTCCCTCAGTCACTATACATCGCACTATGTGGCCCTGGCCAGTCTGAACTCACAGAGATCTACCAGCCTCGGCCTCCCAAGGCTGGAATTAAAGGCCTGGCTCCACCTTATTTGAGACAAAGTCTTTCACTAACCCTGGAGCTCAGATTCAGACTGGCCAGTAGGCCCCAGGGAAGATGGGGTGCACACTTGGCTCTTTATGTGGGTGCTGGAATTTCAATCAGGCCCCCATGACTGGGCAGAGCCTTAGCCTCCTGCCCACCCCCTTAGCTGCTAACACCCTGACCCCACCCACCTGCTCCCCATGAGAGTCTGAATGTCATCCCAGCACTCTGGAGCCCAAGGGAGGGGGATCAGGAGTTCCCGTCAACCTAGACGCTGTGTCAAAAAAAGAAAACTGAACAGTCAGGAGCAGTGGTTGTGCCCTTAGTCCCAGCACCGGGGAGGCAGAGGCAGGTGGATACCTGTGAGTTCAAGGTCATCGTGTTTAACAGTGACACCCTGTGACAACAAAACCCAAAATCCCTAATACACGTAAAAAATTTAAATTGCGGGGCAGTGGCGCACGCCTTTAATCCCAGCACTGAGGAGGCAGAGGCAGGCGGAGCTCTGTGAGAATAGCCTGGTCTACAAACTCTCTCAAAGTCACCTGTGTGCTGGGGGCCGCAGCCCCGGACCCGCTGCAGGCTCCGGCCCGGGCCCCCCGCTGCAGGCTCTGGCCCCGGCCCTGCTGCAGGCTCCGGCCCTCCCACCGCAGGACCCTGCATCCACTCTTCCCTCTGCTGGGAACTGTCTTCCCTGTCTGCCCTCGGGTCTGTCCAGAGAGAGCGCCCACAGCCCTTCCCCTGCACCCCACCTCCAGCCCTCCCCTCACCATTGTCCCTGCCTCAACATCTGAAGGGCAGAAGGAGCCGCCCTCAGGTCTTCTAGGACCCAGTGACTCAGGTCCAAGCCTGGCCTGGCTGTCTCGGGACCCGGGGGTGGGGGCATTTCCGGAGTCATCTTGGCTAGGGGAACCTCCGGTCCGGTGCCCCCTTTCAGCCTCCAGGGACCTGCCTGGGCTCTGACCACACATCCCAGCCCTGGGAAAGGCCTGACTCCAGCCAAGGGTAAAATTAGCGAGGGGGTTAAATTTAGTACGAGAAGCTGGAGCAGGGCCTGCTCTTCCTGATCTCTTTCTTGGATTTGACTCGGAGACCCCGCTCTGAGAGGGTGGAGGCTAGCCCACAGCATCTCCCCTGTGCCAGCTGGAGTATGCACTGCTG